TATCCACGCTCCACAGCTCCACTCTTGCACCTCACCACCAAATCGTAATTGCCTCTAGCTCACCACTTAGTTGAGATAATATTTTGTTGAAAAATGGATTTAACTTGGGTTACGTTTTTGTGGATTAATGGGTTCGAGCATACTTTTTGGGAAGGCTTGTGGTTTGATTTGTAAAGAAAAATCAAGATGGAAAGATGGTCAGTGTGAACTGATGGCTAGTGTGAGGAGTGGTTCAAAGGTGCTTCCAATGAGAGAAAAGGGCTAGGGTTCGATGATGCATGTGAGAATGAGAGAAAGAGTTCAGGATTCCATTAGTTATAATACTAATTATGGACTAGGTTGAGCCACGTCTACCACTCAGCTTATCTTTTCTTCCTTCTTCTGGCTTTACCCTTTGGCCATTGCTTAAGTGGACTTGTTTCCCAAATGCAAAACTTTTGGGCTGTAAAAACTTGAAATGCCAAAATTATAACCCATTACTTCTAGTTTACCCAAAATATTAAACTTAATTGAAAAAGGGTTGAAATTAGCATTCAATGCCTTTCTTTTTATCTTTTAAGCACAACAAGTATTGTTTTAAGTCTCAATTAAGAGACTTATCACACACCTAAAAATGTGTGAGATCCATATTTTTTTTCCCTTAAAGGCCTATATGGCCTTATACACTTTTATATGTGTCTAAGAGATAAAAATTATTTCCTATAACACAAGAGACATTAAATCCATATGTATATTACCAAAATTTTAAACCAAACCTCAAACGTTTTATGCAGTTTTCCATGCATTCATGATGCATCTCCAACACAACGAAACCAACTTATCTGCATAGCTTCGATCTTTTTTTTTTTTCAAATAAAAAAAAATCTTAATATTATTATTAGTTTTTTTTTTTGTGAACCATAAGTATCCTCAACAATATGCAATCTTGTTCGTGGCATGTCCAAGATTTTCGAAGATGGTACTGGAAAATATCGAATACATGTTCTTATCATCACCTACTCAACTCTCATGCACCAACTGAGCTATCATTATTTGATAAATCCAAACATTATTAATGCACCTAAATATCTGTAACTTATGCCGCCATTCATAAATCAAATTCAGAGGGAAGCGGCTCACATAATCTATATAAAAAAAAGGGAAAAAGAAGTATAATGTTGTAGGAAAATATTTAGGTAATGTTATAGAGATAGAGATGGTGGGACCCACCCTTGTTTTCAAAAACCAAAAAAATAAACAAGTGTGGGTCCCACCATCTCTATCTCTATAACATTACCTAAACATTTTCCTACAACATTATACTTCTATTTCCCATAAAAAAATTAATGCATCAGTAGATACAATTACCTCATGCAATCTAAAAATAGGTTAGGAAAAAAAAGCATAATATTTTAAAAAATTTACTTTCCTCTTATATCATAAATTTTATTAAAATATCCTTTATTTTTTTTCTAATCCTAAAAGAAATTTATTTTAATAATGCAGGAGATAATTAAAAGAACATGTAAAAGAAAAGTAATTACTATTATCAATATATAAATCTATAAAAAAAATAGAGTTTTTTGTCGTCTAATAATTTTAAAATTACGTCATTATGAGAATTGGAAGAATTAATAAAAGATATTTTGATAAATTTATAAATTAAAAGCAAATAAAATTTTTAAAATACTTTTTATTAATTTCTCTAATCTCAAAACAACGTGATTCTCTGGAGATAATTTAATTCCCACTGAAAAACAATAAACCAAAAAAATATCTGTACGAAATCTTTGACTTGATTTCTGGTTTTTGCTATTGGGTATACATTTCCAAGCAAACGCCATTCAGAAAGAGCCGCCAGGTAAACGGCAAGGAAAATTGTTTTTTAGGTAAGAAATTTCTTTTTTGGTAGGTACTATTAAATTTATATTATCTTAGTTATGATATTAAAAATATAATCGATGTACAAACTAGCAATGTTTCTTATAAAAGTAATAAGTTGGTTGTTATCAAAAAAAAAAAAAAAAAGTAATAAGTTGGTAATAATACGTAATAATAGTACAAAGTGCTTTATTATGAGAGCAGTTGATCAGAATTATTTTTAGTGTTTTTTTTTTTGTATGCATTTTTAGTGTTTTTAAAATAGGAGATTCTTCTCATTTTATACGAATATTAATATATCATTAAAATATATATCATATTAACAATATATATTATAAAAAATATCGTCAAAAAATGAAACAGTTATAATCTATATAATCAATATGGTACATATTTAATAATATAAAGAAAATTTTCTATTCTTCAAACAAACACTAAGAATTGATCAGTGCACTAAAATTTCTATTCTGTCACACATGTCAGATGTGCTGACTTCAATCACGACAAACCTAGCCCCAACTGTCAATTACACAAAGAGCAAAAATGAGGAATTGGTTTGTTTTCTTATTTGTTAAAAATTATCGGTATTTTAAATAATTTTATATATTTATCAATTACTAATTTTATGAATCAGACTCTAAATTTTTATTTAAATAACTAATTAATATTAGATAATTCATAAAAATACCAATACTGAAAAACATACCATAATAACATCCAATCAACAAAACAAGCTAATAAAGAAAGCAATTTTTTTCCATAAGAGAGCGGTGTAATTTTAATAAATCTTCAAAAAAGTTAGCATATGCCTAATTAGGGGTGTAAATGGACTGGGCTGGGCTTTGGCCTTCCTGGCTCAAGCTTACGTAAAAAAGAATTCAGCCTATCTGGCCTACTGGTCTATTAAAGGCTTTATTTGTAGGCCAAGCCCGACCCATTTTAAAAAATAAGAAAGTCTGACATGGCCTACAGGCCTCGTAGGCCTACCACTGTAGATACTAAGCAAAAAAAATAATTGTATAGAACAAAGAAAGTTCCATTCATGCATGCACTAGTACTTCTCATAAGAAAAAAATGACAAACAAGAAAGAGTCAACATAATACCGCAGCTCTAGAATGTATATCATAGAGGAATAGAGTCAAAGAAATGGGGAAAATAAGAAAAATATAATTACTGGATGCTGAAATAAAGTCTACAAGAGAATGTCATTCATCTAAAAATCTTTAAACCACCAACAAGACAAGGGAAAGAAGAGTATTATTGAAAGATCTTCATCAGTAACATCATAATCCAGCAAGGTACCCATTGCTTCATGGTATTAAGCTGCAACAACATGTAAAATTTGGAGACATTAGACAAGTTTTTCTTTCATAAAATAAAACCAACAAAAAGTAAAAGACGAAGCCGAGAGTGAGAAGCGGCGGTGCACATAAAAATTAGGGTTGATATTGGTACTTTGCCACATAAAATAAAAATTATTTTATTATTTTATTTTAATAAATTAAATAGGCCAGCCTACAAGGCTGTAGGTCGGGCTTGACAAAATTGGCCTATGGCCTATTTGTTATAAAAGCTTTTTTATAAGCCTAAGCCTACTCTATTTTTCTGAAAGGCCGGGCTTAATATAGGCCGGGCTGTAGGCTGGGCTGGGCTAGCCTGACCCATTTACACCCCTATGCCTAATAGAATATCAATGCTACCAAATAGTGGTAACTTAGAAGCAAGGGAGCTAAATAGTGAAAATGAAAGAGATTGGGTTCAATCCTTACATGCTATCTTTAAGAGAGATTTAAATATCTTAATCCTTGACTTGTTCGCCCTCCAAATTAGTCTCATAAGTGATTCAAAGAGATAAAACTTATGAGTAGGGGTGAAACTGGGCCGGGTCGGCCTACGGGGGCCTCTGGCTCGGCCTACATCAGGCTAGACCTGACCTAGTATATTTCGTAAAACAGGCTGGATTTAGGCCTTGAAAAAGCTTGTTTAATAAAAAGGCCTAGGCTCACTTTCACAATGCCTGGCCTATAAACCTATATTGTACTATTTATTTCAAATAAAATAAAATAGAATATGTATGTCTTGAAGAAAAAACAAAAGATATAAATTTAATCAATTACAATTATTTATAACTTAATTATATTCGATTATATTTTAATATAAATTTGACTTTATTTCTTATGTAAGAAGAATCAACATCTCAACATGTTAGATTGTGTATATAAATATATTAAAAGGTTTTTGGGGGAGGTTATACTTACTATAAGCATTATGATATGTTTGCTCGATTCATGTAGTTATTTTAATTTACATAGTATGAATTTATTTGTTGGATCTGATGAAATATATGTTATTTAGTTTAAGCATTTTGCTTTTGAGAGTGACTTAAATGCAGATTGCATAAGTTTTGTTGTGATTCATGATTCTGTTTGGACGTTGAAATTATGATTTTTGGTTTAGCAACAGAATTTGAGTATTTTGTAAAGTTGGTTCATGGTTCTGCTTGGAAGTTAAAAATTAATAGGCTAACGAGCTAGTCCAGGTCATTTGTTTTTTTATAAACGGGTCAAGCCAGACTAACAGTTAAACTCATACTAGGCTTGGGATAGGCCAAATTGAAATTTTATTATGTAAGCTTGGACTTTTCGGGACAAAACTTGGCTCAGCCCAGTTCACTTTCACCCCTACTTATGAGTATACAGGGAGAGCAAACTCACCTCAAAGAAATAATTAAGGTTTGATAATTTAAAAAAAAATCAATCCTTAACTCCACCTAAACATTTTAATATAATAAAAAAGATAAAACAAATTAATAAAAGCCCAACTGCCTTCTGGTCTCAAGATGATTTTGACCGCCGTTTGATTTGATTGGTTTAGTTAGTCAAAGTAATAATGTGAAATAAAATCAATAAACTCAAACACAATCATGACTTAAAAAAATATTTACATTTACATTTTTTTTTTTGCAGATATACATTTATGTTAATTTTGTATATTAAATAAGTATAAGGTAAACTCTCTCTTTTTTTAATTTTTACACTAAGTTTTCCAACCAAAATTTAATTAACAATTGGTTTTTTTTTTTTTTTACCATTTTGTCTAAATTATATATACTAATTTAGACAAAATTGGAAGCAGTTACCATCAAACGACAAGATAATCAACAACCACCTACCTACCTAATTACAAGAATTTTCATAGAGTTCCCCGGTGATTTCTCTCTAGAAGTCCTTCCATAATCACTTTCTTCTTGTGCAACTTCGAATCCAAATCCACATCGTTAATTGATTTGGTATTGGGATCATCGTCGTCGTTTACCGTAGCACTCTTCCTAAAACGCGGGATAAAATACAACCACGCGGAAGTGCAGAGGATGGCACAGAAACGACCCCAAAATATCATTATCACCAAAGTCACCACAACAACGGACATGCCAACCAGAGTGTCGTTCGACCTCCCCCTCGTCCTTTTAGATGTCGTTTGGTTTTTTTGCATTGACGACGACACCGCCCGCACCTGCCGTTTTGGTTGTGCTGGAGAAGCCCTACCTTGTTGACGCGTGTCCTCTACGCTGTTCGCACCATGCCTTGTCTGAAACAAAGATAATAACACAATTCGGTGAACTAATTGGAACTGAATTTGCTAACTTGCGCCGGGGGTTGATTATGCGCATACCTGTGATGGCGTGTGATAGGGTGTGACGGGGAGCACCGATGGTTGCTGAGCTGTCGGTGGAGGATTGGATGCCGGAGATTGATGTTTATGATGAGGGGTTGACTTTGACTTCAACTTGTAATCATGAGCTTTAACAGAGAGCGAGGCTTCAAGCGGCACCGTTTTGGAGGCTGAGTTTTTATTGAATCGAATCCTTGTCCATGAAAACCAACTAGTTTTCTTTTGTTTTGGGATAGGATCATAGTTCTCTTTTTTGGGTAGAGGGGATCCAAAGCAACATAGAAATATAGAGGTTTTTGGTTTTGAGTATTTGGTACTTGGTTTTTTGGATTTTGCCATGGAAGCGAGGGTTAGAGACTAGGAGAATGGGATGAACATGATTATTATGATTTTGATTATGATGAGGAAGGATTTTTGAGACTGGAATGGTTGGCTTAGTCTCTAGTGATGATGTTGTTATTGAAAGCATGATTAATAAAATATTGTTATGGGAAATGGTATTGGTTTCGTAGAATGTATTTTGTTTGATTTATAAAGTTTTGGTTTGGAGGGAAGACTTGGACTTTGTCCTTTCAGTCCAAATCTTCCGCGTTTACAACTATCTCACGTTTCTTCACTGCCCTCATTCTCTATTGCCAATGCAATTTTTATTATGGTGGTTTTTTTTAAGGTGCTTTTGTCTACGTGCATGCCTTGTTGCTTAATACATACATATGTATATACAATGATATACCTAATATATATATATATATATATATATATATATAGATTTTATAATTCTCATGTTGAAGGAGAATTGGAATATCATGTTGTAGAGATAAAAAGCATGTGAGACCCATGTGTTAGAAAAAATTATATGTAGGACCCATGTCAGTACGGAAATCGAAGGGTGTGTAGGAAAATTGTAATTCTCATGTTAAATGAGAATTATAAAACCCTATATATATATATATATATATATATATATATAATGAAAGAATTAATATTTCTCATGTTTCAAGAGATAGTTCTATTTTCTAAACACATATTATAATTTTATTTTCTACACACATATTAAAGTGTGTGGAGCCATATAAAGAAAAGAGAAAAAACAAAATTATGAGCCCCACATATTTTTATATGTGTGTAGAAGATAAAATTATTTCATACAATATAAGAAACATTAATTAAATAAAACAATTAGCCAAGAAGTATAGAAAAGAAAGAATGGCACTATTCACGGGGGAGCCACATGAGGGTAAAACCAAGTAGATGTAGTTAGTTACATTTAGGCTTGACGAGAAAGAAGAAATCATTTGTTTTATGTGTACATAGATGTTAGGGTTATTCTGTAGTATTTGTAAACAGTGGGGAGTGAATATTTGAATCGAGGACCACATATCATGTTTTTACTAATTATTGCTGTTTTCATATTATGTGTGCTTTGTGTATGTACGAGGTTTTTAACATTCCAATATAGCATCAAATGCTAGAAACTCAGTTAATGCATGAAAACTGAGCAATGAGAGCTGAACAGGTGGGGGTGAGAGCATGTATTCGATCCTCTCTAGTATTATCTTTGAGAGAGATTTATAGTTTTAATCTTGAATCCGTCCCGAACAAGATTGCATCCGGTGAAAGATACTTGTGATTTATAAAAAAAAAAAAAAATTCAAATTAATATAGCTTGTCAAGCTAGGATTTTAAAATTTTGAGCGTTTTTTTTTTTTGTCTGCTTTCCCTAGGAAGAAAATAAGTTATAATGGACTATATCTAATCTCTAAATTTTGCATTTATAATTGTAGTTTTGTACTTTTATTGGACAATTGTACATTTAGTTCACGTGTTTAACTAAAAAAAGAGAGTCACAAAAGTTGTGCAATTATGCATACAAATTTTGTGTAGGCAAAAACTATTGTAGCTTGATGAGAACATAAATTTATAAGAAAAGCCTCCGCTTTGAATTAGAACATTCGTTTTGTGTGTATATGATAAGGAAAGGCGGCTTTTAGAGTCGCTTCTTTTGGTTAGTTATACATATTAAATTATTCTATTAATATTTTAGTTTCAAACTTGAAGAGCAATCAAGTGGGAGAAATAGCCTCCTTAATTTAACTAAAATATGAAGAGATAGAGACAGAAAGAAAAAAAATTAAAGAATATAAAAAAGAAAATGACCCAAGTTTTCAGAAAATCTGATGGTTGCTGAGGTATTCATTATCGAATGCCGTATCTAATGCTTTGCCTTGGCTTTTTGTAAGTTTCTATCTCGCAAAACTTTTAGAGCAGAAGACACTACCCGTTTCCACCGAAAAGTTTGTGCTACCGTATGAGATCAATTTGAATGGATCGAGCAGTATAAATCCATGCGAGTTGTTTAGATGAGTCAATCTTATTATATACATCACCGATAGAAAGACAAGTTTGCGGGAATTTTTTTTTAAAAAAGTTTTATAAAGTAATTAATTCTATAATGCTGATTCTGATTTTGTGACATCTTGAATGATGTTTTCCAACAACAAAAATAAAAGACATCTTGAATGATTCAAGATTTATGTGATCGTAATAGGGTTGAAATTGTATTGCAGTCCATAAAAATTACACTATCATTTTTTTTAATATATCACCGATTCATTAATTATCCGACTGGTTTAGTTTGAACACTGTCGAATTTGTTATAGGGGATAACTCTTTCAAGACTATTTTTTTCATTCCCATAAATCGAATTTAGACATCTGATTAAGGGAAATAAGCTCCTTATTACGTGAATCAATAATTGTTGATAATTACACTATCATTTTCTCAACAAATCCATTTCTACAAACTTGATTATTGCGATTGAATTCTAAAAGAATCTTTTTATATTGCACCTGAGATGTAAATCACACTACAGATTTCATTTAGTTTTATGTTAATATTTAAAGTAAATATCCTTTTTCGTCCCTGACAATTTTCACGAAGTCTCTTTTGGTTCCCAACAATAAAAAAGGCTCATTTTGGTCCTTAATTTTACAAAAATAATGCCACGTTTGTCCTTCTGTTAGTTGGCATCCAACGGCCCAACTAACGGAGCACTCGTGGAACGTTAGTTTGCCGAGTCACCGTTAAGTAGTCCAGCGTGAAAGTAATACGACGACGTTTTGAACATGCCTTGTGTCTTCTTGGAGTTTTGGACAGCTGACCCTAGTATCGAATGCCCTATTTGGTCCCTGTCAAATTTTTCAAGGCCCTATTTGGTCCTTAACACTAAAAAAATGGACATGAACATAGAAGTTACAAGGCATATTGCAGCAAACCACCAACCACAAACCTTTCAAACCACCATTGCAGCAATCCAATGGCCCTTGCCAAGCATCCTGGACAGTGTAGGAGGACTAATTGTTGTCTCCAATCTAAACAATCTCATATCTCTGGTTTCTTATTCCAAATCCATGATATTCACAGATGGAGATAACGATGGAGGTGAAGAAGAGAGTAAGTCATTATCTGCATTTTTTCATAATAAAATACATGATAGTTCTTCATCTTCTCAGTCCATGTCTATTTCACCTAGTATTCTTGATGAATTTCGTTGCCCAATTTCACTTGATTTAGTGAAGGACCCTGTCATTGTATCATCTAGGCAAACTTATGATCGAACTTCAATTGCACAATGGATAAACTCTGGGCATCACACTTGCCCTAAAAGTGGGCAAAGGCTAATTCACACTGCTTTAATACCCAACTATGCATTAAAGAGCCTTCTTCAGCAATGGTGTCATGAAAACAACGTCCCAATAAATGAGCCTTCAACTTATTCTTTTTCCGAGGGAAAGAACAACAAGGGCAAGAAGAACTTGAATGAGAATGCTATTAATCATATTTCTGCAAACAAAGCAGCTGCAGATGCTGTGAAAATGACAGCAGAATTTTTAGTTGGAAAATTGGCAACTGGTTCAGCTGATACACAAAGGCAAGCTGCATATGAACTTCGGTTACTTGCAAAATTCGGCATGGATAACTGAAGAATCATAGCTGAGGTAGGGGCTATTCCTTTTCTTGTTACACTTCTAGCATCTCAAGATTCAAGAATCCAGGAGCATGCAGTTACGGCCTTGTTCAACCTCTCCATCTATGACAACAAGATTTTGATCATGGCAGCTGGGGCAGTTGATAACATAGTAGAAGTACTTGAATCAGGGAAGAACATGGAGGCAAGCGAGCATGCTACAACAACAATGTTTAGCTTGTCAATGGTGGATGATTGCAAAGTACAAGTATGAGCTCGTCCAAGGGCAATACCTGCCTTAGTTGGACTCTTGAAAGAAGGTACTCCTATTGGTAAAAGAGATGCTGCTACTGCACTATTCAATCTTGCAGTTTATAATCCTAACAAAGCAAGTGTTGTTAAAGCTGGGGCAGTTCCTGTGTTGGTTGAGTTGTTAATGGATGATAAGGCTGGCATAACAGATAATGCTTTGGTTGTGCTTTCTTTACTACTTGGTTGCTCCCAGGGGCTACAAGAGATAAGGAATAGTAAAGCATTGATGCCACTTCTTGTTGATCTTCTGAGATTTGGGTCAGTTAAAGGGAAGAAAAATTCAATAACACTTCTATTAGGATTGTGCAAAGAAGATGGGGAACTTGTGGCAAAACGTCTATTGGCAAATCCAAGGAGTATTCCTTCTCTTCAAAGCTTGGCAATAGGGCAATTAGATTGCTGCAATGGTGGTTTGAAAGGTTTGTGGTTGGTGGTTTGCTGCAATATGCCTTGCAACTTCTGTGTTCATGTCCATTTTTTTAGTGTTAAGGATCAAATAAGGCCTCGATAAATTTGTCAGAGACCAAATAGGGCCTTTGATGCTAGGGTCAGCTGTCCAAAACTCCAAGAAGACATAAGACATGTTCAAAACGTCGTCGTATTACTTCCACGCTAGACTACTTAACGGTGACTCAGCAAACTAACGTTCCACATGTGCTCCGTTAGTTGGGCCATTGGATGCCAACTAACAGAAGGACAAACGTGGCACTATTTTTGTAAAATTAAGGACCAAAATGAGCCTTTTTTATTGTTGGGGACCAAAATGGACTTCTCGAAAATTGTCAGGAACGAAAAAAGATATTTACTCTAATATTTATTAGTTGGGCAGTTTAGGAGTTTAACATCAATAACTTAATCGCTAATTTTTTTATTTTTTAGTCTCCTTATTCAGTTCATCCTTTCTACTTGTCTGGTTTAAGCACTATCGGGTCCAAAACGGTGATAGCTCTCGCAAGACCATTTTTTTCATTTCAGGATTCGAATTTGAGACCTCTGGTTAAGAAATACAAACTCCTTATTACTTATGCCAATGATGTTTGATAAGTCATACAATTAATGAATAAGTTGTAATATTTTGTTCTTTTTAATTAAATGGTATTAAATTTAATATATATGTATAAATTGATTACTTAAATAATTAATAACGACCTTTACTAAACAAAAGGTATATATATTGTTGTT